CTTACGCAATAATTTGCTAACGTGACACGAACGGTTTAATTAAAATCAACGCAATATATGTAATACTATAACTTGAAAATGATGCACGCTGTAGCATCGAAACGTCGTTTAATAAATGTAATATCGCTATCATTTGTTTCAAAATTGATTACACAAGTGCATGCGAAACACAATTGCATGTGAGAAGCAACTGCATGTGAAAAGTATTCGCTTCACTGGTTTTTCATTTCACTATAGAAAAATTTCCTATTTCCTATAATAATCACTATGATCCTTCACTTGTAACCACCTCTTTAGATGCGGTTAATTTTTTCATAACCAGTAGACATTAATAAGACGAAGACTGTATACAAAACGTCAGGAATAGTAAAAATTCAGAAGCTCATAAAATTTTTCGTATCTCTACATTTTCTCTTATAAATTTGGTTCATCTTTTTGTGGCTATGAACCTAAAAGTAACACGAAAGGACATATCGATCGAACTCGCATTTTCGGACTCGCTAGCAATCCCCGTTGACTCGATAGCTCAGTAGGCAGAGCGTTGGTCACCGTGGTCTACAAACCGAAAGGTGCAAGTGTCTGAAATAAACATGAAACTAGTTTTTCATATTACGTGCACTTATATTGGATAAGACTCGCTACTAATCTCCGTTGACTCGATAGCTCAGTGAGTACCTTCTTATTGGCTATAAGAACTTAGAGTTAATCAATATATGAAGCATTAATATAAATTATAGCTAGTCGAGTTAAGCCTGGCGCACACGATGCGATTTTAGTCAGCCGATAAAAATCGTTTGACTGAAACTAACAAAATCGTTGTGTGTGCGGTGTCATTTTTAACCGATTTTTGTTGCTCGATTTTAATCGGACAACATCAAAACGTTTTGATATTATACGATTTTTATCGGTGGAATTTTAAGTATAACCAATCAGATTCCATGCTGTGATCACGTGCTTGTATTTATTTGGCAACATGGCGGCTACAGTTCAGGGAGCGTATTTTTTTCGTATTAGTGTGCGGAGTATACCGATGTATATCGGTATGTCAAACGATTTTTATCGGCCGACTAAAATCGCATCGTGTGCGCCAGGCTTTAGTTACAGGTGGATCCAACAATATCTTATACATACATTCTCTAATTGGCTTAGGAGCAGGTGAAGCGAGTGGCCGAAAACCTGCTTCGGTGTCAGCCGACTGCAATTGTCTTTTCAATGCTCTATCAGTAGCCATTGTTGGAAATGAATCGCTTGCGAAAGAGTTGCGCGTAAGAGCGTTCATAGAATTGTCTGATGGTAAGAAATTTTACGAAGCTGAGTATAAGTCATCAGATTTGAAAGATGTAGCTCTTTGTTATGAAAAGGAGTTCATGGATTCCGCAAAAGTTGGAGCTTATTCGACAACGTGGAATATACAAGCAGCTGCAACAGTGCTCCAAAGAAATATCATAACCATCTGTCCTACCAAGACGACAGTAAAAGCACTTAACAGAACGTTTCGTCCACGAGGTTCCGCTAGATCACGTCCCACCGTTTACATTATGTGGACCAGTGCGTCTCGGGCGGAGAATGGAAACTGGAACCTAAACCATTTTGTTCCACTCCTCATTGACTCAGCACAGGTATATGTATTTATTTGGAATTTTTAAACCGATTACATTTCCACATTTCAGCCCCGCAACATAGTCAAATATACCTACAGAAGAGGTTTAAATGTGTATCACGGAACCACAGTAACTAGCTCAAGTAATACGAGTTTCCTTCCTTCATTTCTTTATTAGTTTTTTTTATGCGCGGGATTCGTGGTCAAGCAGCAAACAAGTGACACAGAAAGTGAACCAGGTAATAGACATTTATATACTTTCAGATAATAATTTTGAGCATCTATTATTACGATGCAAACTTTTTGAGTCTTGAGTTGTTCATTCTATAACACTACACTGACATTGGAAAACACATAGTTTTTATACATGCAAGAATAAACAACTCTTTCTAGTGAAGCTATTGCCACCGCACTTGCAATTGTATACTAACTTGCCCGTATACAATAGCCTCCACTTTTACACACGAAATACATAGGGAGGAAATATTCAACTTATTATACGTAGCCAGGGCCGCCGATAGAATTCGCGGAGCTCGGGGCAAATCTTCTCTGGGGCCCCATGACATCATTATTTTTAAGCTAGTCCCACCTAGATTGCATGTAGAGTTACTGCAAGGGGCCCCCGATTTCAAAAATGCAATTTTAGGTTCTCTCTCTCATGTTGGGGCCCTATAATTAAAGTCCCCACCTTAATTATAGGGCCCCAACATGAGAGAGAGAGAACATATAAAATTGCATTTTTGAAATCGGGGGCCCCTTGCAGTAACTCTACATGCAATCTAGGTGGGACTAGCTCTAGGTGGGACTAGCTATAATTAAGATGGGGACCCGGACAATTTGCCCCCTACCACCCCATCTCGGCGGCCCTGTATATAGCAACTGTTTGTCGACCTCGTGCCGTCAATAAAGCGGTCATTTTTAAAACTTTATATAGTTATATTTATTTTAACGGCCCAATAGAATTTGTTGCTCCAATTTCTTTCATCCTTGAGCCTTTATCAACAACGTTTAAAAACAACCATTTTTTACAGTACATATTGAGTCGAGCAGTCATTGCAGATGAAAAATTCGTGAAATAGATTACTCTAGATTGTTTCATCAAACCACTGCCAAACCATATATAGCCTACACGCCCCCATATAAAAGTTGATTATCTCAATTGACCACGAGAGGGCCACTCTCTATTCCCGAAACGTTCGAAATTAACTGCTTTAATTGTTGATCACGAGGTCTTCAAATATTAACCGAGCTGCCGGGTTTTCGTAATTTCGAGTGAAAATCCCCCCCCCCCCTTTTTATCCTCTAGTGAAACCGGAATGTTAAAGCAAAGCTTGAAGGCCAGTTCCAGTCTTTTCATGCATGTGAAAAGCGCGGTCAATCCGTCAACAAGAATATGTATTAAGTTCTTTGTAGGTTTGCATGGCGATAAAGCATATAACACTTTTGTCAGTTGTAGAAACACCACGTAAAGAATAAATTAGTAATAAATTTGCGTGGTGTTTCCACAAACTAAAGTATTATAAGAATATGAATTCTTGAAAATCGGCTCAAACTTCACAAAAAAGCTTTTCAACTGCGCTGAAAACTTTCTATTAATGCATTTATTCAAGTGAAACTTCCTAGTAGACTTTACTTTTAGCTTTTTCTTATTAAAACGGCATGCAAGCTCCCTGAACTGGTCTCGCAATGCATAAACACGCGCGTATTGCCAAGAAAAAGATAGGCTGTTTAGCTGTTTAAAGTTTAGCTGTAGGTATAGCGTTCGAGCTACTGTATATTCATTTCACTGGTATCTCTGTTATAAATAGAAGGCCATTGTATATGGATCATATGCATGCAAATTAGTGTTCAAGCGCTGGCCATGTTTTGCTAATCTCTGGTAATGAGTGATAAGAACTTACTCAAGAACCTAAGGAGTCTAATTTCATGTACATACGATGCCCAACGATTCATCGCACGAGCCAACTCGCAAACTCGCTGCTGCGAGTTCTTTCAACTAATCACAATGCTCGACAGCTGTCAACAGTCTATTTTGATTAGATGCAATTAACTCGAGTTGATTTTTGTGATGAGATGGACACTAAATGTCAAACATTTAAATATGGGGAAAAACAGATACAGTTGTAACGCTTTTGAGTTTGAAAAAATAGAGGATGCATAGTTGAAGCATTATTTATTGAACGTTCTCTGTCTCTGACTTAATATTTATTTCTACGAGCTTTCGGCTCTCAGTCTATAGCCTTCGATGGGTGTATACAAATGATTCTATAAAGGACGCTAAACTCAAGTGGGTGGTATAATATCTGAGACTATCTATGCTATGCGTAGATAGTCTCAGATCATAGTATCTCAGATCATAGATAGTCTCAGATCATAGTATCTCAGAGATCATAGTATCATAGCACAGATAGTCTCAGATTTCATAACACCCACTTAAGCGTCCTTTATACAAATCAATAATTTGTATGCATCCGTCGAAGGCTGTAGACTGATAGCCGAAAGCTCGTAGAAATAAATATTAAATCAGAGAACGTTCAATAAATAATATACTTTTGAGTTTACCAAATGCCAAATGCTGTAATCGCAACTATAGAGAAATGCAAAAATTCTACAAGACATTTACTTCCAAATTATTTTATTGAAGATCTCATTGACGGCTTTGTTGCAACGCATGACCTCTGAAGAACTCCATTCATACTGAATATATATACCTGAACCAAAATTTCTATTTGCAATAAATACAATTTTGTAATCTCATTTGCCAATAAAATAATAATACATACAGTCTGTCATTTGCAGTGTTTTATGGACAAGGTTAAACATCAGAAGATTTTAAATTTTATTTTCTGGATTTCTTAAATTTTACTTTTAATTAGTTCAAGGTTTTTTGCAGAAATTTTTAGCATGATGACAACACTCTCTTTGTGATAGTAACTCTATTTCTCTTGTCTCATTGTTCAAATTGTTCCATAAAATTGGTTATAAAGGACCAATTTTATGGAACAATTTGAACAATGAGACAAGAGAAATAGAAAGTTGCAAACAATTTTCATATTGTATAACTAGTTTAGAATTACGTGATTCAATGTTTAAATAGAACTTTATTAGTATAATCTAACTATAGATAGATAATTATGTAACCCACGACCCTATCAGCTCTGTCTGTATTAATTATCGTGGTTAAATAAATGCTTTAACTAACTCCTAGTTTTAATTAAATGCAACCACTCGAGTTGATTTTGCAATCAGTAGAAACGAGCCCATGGGCGGTTCTCTGTCCCGGTGTCTGAACTATTTTGGCTTTAATTTTCTTTCGAAAAACGGAAAGTATAATTTTCCTACAAAAATAAAGTGAAGTAGATATCATTTCGGCCCATCGCAAAACATGAATTACTTTCAGCATGATACTATGTGAGTGAGAGTATAGCTGTATTCGTGCTGGTGGAATATTAAAGTTTGAATATAGAGTTAATAATCTTGTCGGCGGATTAAATTTTGTTTAAAAAGGGCACACAACTTAGGTAGCAAATGAACAACCATACCATCATAACACTATTCCTACCCTGTTGTTTATTTTGTTTACCAGCAAAAGTTGTCGTCGCTGAAGATACAAAGGAAAAGCAAGAAAAAAGCTCCAACAAAGAGTCTGTTGTAAAGAAGAAAGCAGGTATGACTAGTAAGGTGTTTCTTAAACCGATATTAAATGAATTCTTCAGATGCAAAATACAACTGTCATCATATAACCTATAATCATATAACCAAGACGGAGATCCAAAACAATTGAGCGTGGAAGATGCCGCCAAGAACTTGATCGAACTAAAAAAGAATACGAATAAAATACGTGATGATTACAAACGACAGAAGGAACATATCACGAAGCTACAGCCCCATGAAGATGGCTACAAGATGTTAAAGTATCGTGAAAGAGTAAGTTATATACTATATTTCCTGTTTCATATACTATTCGTGCATGCATGCATGTTACAGCTAGTAAAGATATCAGAGCATTATCTAAGATTTTTTCAGTGGTGGGGAATAACTTGTAAAAGGGCCCATAGCCCCACCAACTGCGGTCATCCCCCCAGCAAAGCCCAAGATTTGAAGTTCTAAATCCGCACAGGTAGGAATTTGAGGCGAACCCCTAACAGTGAACTCTATATATCTGCGGCAAGAACTTCAGTCATTCGGGCTACGAGAGAAGTAAGGCTAAGATGGTAGAAATTGACGTGGAATATAGCTATGGAGGTCGTAAACAGTTTTAATACCATTTTTCCAGCTGATTCCAGTTTTTATCTAACGTACCGTATCGTTAAACAAGTTACCAGTTCATAAAACCATAGTGTTATTCCTTAAATCGATGTCAATTTTCGCCCACTCCAAAACAATAGAAAGGGACTGGAACTGACGTCTAATAAATCTTCAATTTCCGCCATCTTGGACTCGAGTTCTCGATCCAGATATATATGGAGCTCACTGACCTGTACCCACCAACACCGCGGTCAATCGACTACATTTATTTGAAGGACTGGAAATAGTATTGTCTTCATGAGGCTTTAGCAAAAAGTGTAAAGAAAATTGCGAGAGTGTAATAAACTAAGTACAACTTCGTCCTGTCACAAGGAAAAAGCGATGAAATCCCTGCGCTTATTCACGTTCAGCCGTTTTCTGGCCTCATAGTAAACTTTTTCTTTTCCCGTATTTACTCCTATTTGTTTGGCAGATATTTTCCTCGCCATTTTCGTAGACTCGCGTACGCACTTTACGTTTGACCGTGGTGTTGTACCTACCCCGTCGGTATTTTCGACTATTGCAAACTGCTGTTGTAGATCCTATATAGCTATCTTTACGGCAGGCAGTATAGGGACCAGCTTACTCCGCAGGTCTTCATGCTTCATTGAAGGTCACAATTCAAGAAGACCTGTGGAATCTTGTAAACAAAATGGTGTACAACACGCTCATTACTTGTCAACATGAATAACAAGTTTTAAAGAAATTTTAAACGCTAAAAGTTTATTTACGAACTAAAACTAGTGCAAAGGTTGAAAAATTGTTGATTACACTTTCTTTCACCAAACACGAGTTTTCTTTAATTGCGTTGTTGCAGATGACCAAGGATGTTAAGGAAGACTTCCGAAAATATCAGTACACGAAGGATGGCACAAGTACATCCAAAGTAGAGAAAAGAGGTAATGGCGCTGCAATAGGTACGATTGCTGGAACAAAAATTCATTCCGAGCTTAGTACACACATAAGGAGTAAAGGCAAAATCTCAACACCACGAGCCAAATATATAATAGAAAGAGTTGAATTATTTTTTCGAGAGTACCAGAATTCCGAGAAAGATACTCCCAAAGAACAAGGCGAAATTAAATTCCTGGAAGCCGAATTCCCTTTTGTCGGCTACATGACCCACAAAATCAAAAACGAAAGACCGGAAATTTATTTCTGGGATGGAAACGCTGACGCAATTGGATTGTATAAAGGCAATTACGTCATTATAGACTGGAAGGTGGTCGACCTCCCGGAGTTCTGGAACAACGCATATGGAAAGTATTTACACCAATGTTTAGTTTATGCTTGGCTTTTGAAGCTACATTTGGGACTTGAGAAGCTACCATACATTCTAATCGTTCCAATTCACTCCGTAACTGAGAAAGACATTGACCCTGGCTTGTTTTATGACTTTCCAAAAGAATGTAAAGATAAATTAGAGGAACAGTATAAATGGTCAACGAATTTAGATGGATCTAAACAGGAAGTGATAATGAGTCTACCAAGTACATTGATTAATAACAATATCGCTGTCAAGAACTTTATCGATAAAAAAATAACACTGGGCAGCTTATTTAAACCTGATTGTACATTAAAACAACTGCTGGATGCACTTGGACGTGCTAACTTGAAAGTTGAATAATCACAATGCAGTCAAACATGAACAATGCTTTACCAAAAGTTACCGCTTAGAATTAAAAAAATAACCTCCCCCCTCAAAAACAAATCACCAGAAGTAGCGGTGTTTTTAAACAGACGCTTATGGGGACTAGGTATTGTTAATATTGAAAAAATTAGGATCCGAGGAAGTTTAGACTTTACAGAGAAACAAAGCACTTACATACATACCTTCATTCTAGAAGAGGTTTCCCTGATTTGAATTGCAACGTATTTAGAATCACAAAATTAGCTACTCTCAAAGGTAAAGCGGTCCGCCGATTACGTAAAGGGGAGGTTACTTTCAGAATTCCACGGTATACAATGACTTCAAGCTGAAAACACACTTTGTGTGACAATGAACAAGTTTAAACTGATTTTTTTGTGGTTTTCCATGGCGATAATCAATATGTTTTGGTTTGAGGACAACATGACATATATTTATTATTTCAAAGCTTTCGATCCGTCCGAATCTTCATCAGTACCAACAATATCATATTATATTAATTAGTTTTAAGTAGCTAAAAAATTTATATCAATAAAATTGTTACCTGAGTATTGTTAATTTCTTTTTCTGTTGCATGCGACTCGTAATCCTTCAGTTGTAAAACTGTCTTCGTTTGGCAAAGTCCAACACGCATCAATGTCATTTCACCCTAGAACAAATGCATTCCCTTGAGCATTTCAGTGCGTCGTTCTTGCTCAAACCATACATATTTGGAGCAAAAACTTGGGTCCAAAAAGTGAGGCCAGCATGGTGTTAAACGCGCAGACAAAAACAATAGAAGGGAACTGAAACTGACGTCCAATAGCGGCTTTAATTTCCGCCATCTTGGCAAGAAGTGTGCCGAAATTTAGTATTTTGACATCGATTTAAAGAATAACAGTATTGTTTTATGAACTAATATCTTGGTTAGAGATATGGTCCGTTACGAAAAACTGGATTTAGCTGGGAAAATGGCATAAAAGCTGTTTACGACCTTCACCCTTCAGAGCTATTGGACGTCAATAGCCGCCGTCTTGGCTTCACTTTCCTAACTGAAGCTCTTGCTCGAGATATAAGTGTTATAAGATGAATTTACTTAAGGTGGCTCGCTACAGTTTATAGAAATGTTGAAAATGCGTAAACTAGATCACCTTTTTGATAAGATGATGCTCTTTACAAATCGAAATTTGTATATTATATATACAGCGACAATCAAACAATCGAAAATTGTATATTTTGTGTTCAATATATAGACCACAGTAAGACTTTTTTTTAAATGTTTATTTCATTAACAAACGACGTTTCGGAGATTTACTCCATCTTCAGGTAGTTAATAGGATTACAATTTGAATTTAAACTAACATGCGCATGCATAAACGTTAAATTGCGACCGTTATTCGCGCGTGCGAAATTGCGTAAGCATATAAATTACGTGCACGTGTCCGATTAATTCTAATAAAAATTAGAAATTGTTAATTCTGTCTTTAATGTTTAAACTACGAAATCTAGGACATTTAACTGTTCGTGTTTTTCATTCAAGTCTGGATTAAGCTTTTGGATGAATAATGCTTCGGTAATTTTCCGTTCTACAGATCCTTTTGTTCTTTTTAAAATCTTAACAGACAGTTTAGGTTTTTGTCCGTAATGTTGGTCGAGGTAGTGTTTCGAGAAAGCCATGTTTTTATAGGACTTTGCTTTCGGGTTTGCTGCGGAACGAAAATGTTCTTGGTATCGAACCATCAATGGTCTACCTGTCTCGCCTACGTACGTTGCTCCACAAAGGTCACAGTTGATTTGATACACGACATCTTTCTGTGTACACTGAACGGGAGCATTTGAGTTGCTGCAGATTGGGCATTTAGAGGTGTCTGTACATACTTTATCGTAAGGTCGCGATTCTACGAGGAGTTGTTTAAGCGAGCTTTGTGGTCTTTCAACTATTCTGACATTGAGGTTTGAACTCTGGACCGCTCTTCGGATGTCAGTCGTAAAGCTTCTGGAAATGAATGGAATTGTGAATGTGGGAAGAGGTTCGACTTTCGATTTTGGCAGTTTACGTTTTGTTGTCTGCACTTTTTTTATATAGTTGTTGCTATAGCCGTTTCGTCTCGCTCTTCTTTCAAACTTCCGTTCAGCTTCTTCAAACAAGGCGTCGGTTGAACATATGGAAGTATATGTCTTGATGGTATTACCGATAGCAGCCCGTTTGATTTGTTCTGGGTGGTGTGATTTTGCATTCAACATTATTCCTTTGTTTGCCCATTTTTTATGCCATCCCGTCTCCACTGTTCCAGATTCGTTCACCTTGACTTTTGTGTTGAGGAATGGGAGGAATCCATCTTCACCTGGCAACTCGATTTCGAATCGTATTGATGGGTCTTGTGAGTTAAGCTTGTCTTGGATCTTTACAGCTTCATCTGGACCGCTAGCAGGTGTAATACAATCATCAATATATCGATAATACAAGGGAAGGGAACAAATAGTCAGAATAGTTGAAAGACCACAAAGCTCGCTTAAACAACTCCTCGTAGAATCGCGACCTTACGATAAAGTATGCACCTCTAAATGCCCAATCTGCAGCAACTCAAATGCTCCCGTTCAGTGTACACAGAAAGATGTCGTGTATCAAATCAACTGTGACCTTTGTGGAGCAACGTACGTAGGCGAGACACGCAGACCATTGGTGGTTCGATACCAAGAACATTTTCGTTCCGCAGCAAACCCGAAAGCAAAGTCCTATAAAAACATGGCTTTCTCGAAACACTACCTCGACCAACATTACGGACAAAAACCTAAACTGTCTGTTAAGATTTTAAAAAGAACAAAAGGATCTGTAGAACGGAAAATTACCGAAGCATTATTCATCCAAAAGCTTAATCCAGACTTGAATGGAAAATACGAACAGTTAAATGTCTTAGATTTCGTAGTTTAAACATTAAAGACAGAATTAACAATTTCTAATTTTTATTAGAATTAATCGGACACGTGCACGTAATTTATATGCTTATGCAATTTCGCACGCGCGAATAACGGTCGCAATTTAACGTTTATGCATGCGCATGTTAGTTTAAATTCAAATTGTAATCCTATTAACTACCTGAAGATGGAGTAAATCTGCGAAACGTCGTTTGTTAATGAAATAAACATTTAAAAAAAAGTCTTACTGTGGTCTATATATTGAACACAAAATATACTATTAACATGAGACTTAGGGAAAGTTCGTTCCTAAACATTTTGAAGAATCGAAAATTGGTCAGAAAAGTGACGTCACCACTGTTGCTATGGCAACAATGACGATTCAAGATGGCCGATATTTTGGCTTTAAACGCATTTTACTTTAAAAAAAGGTCGGTTACCCCCATTTTTTATTTCAGAAAACATTTTCTTATAGTGCAATGCACTATCTGACCAATTTTAAAAAATTCTGTAACTACATTGGCATTACAGAATTTTTTGAAAATTGGTCAGATAGTGTATTGTAGTATAAGAAAATGTTTTCTGAAATAAAAAATGGGGGTAACCGACCTTTTTTAAAGTAAAATGCGTTCAAAGCCAAAATATCGGCCATCTTGAATCGTCATTGTTGCCATAACAACAGTGGTGACGTCACTTTTCTGAGCAATTTTCGACTGTTTGATTGTCGCTGTATATATAATATACAAATTTCGATTTGTAAAGAGCATCATCTCTTCAAAAAGGTGATCTAGTTTACGCATTTTCAACATTTCTATAAACTGTAGCGAGCCACCTTAAGGAACAAATGGTGTTTAAAAGTTGTTTAAAAGGAAGATAGATACAAATAAGAAGCAACCTAGTTATGCATACATCCGAAAAATCTTTTAGGTATTTTGTTTTACACTGTAGCAGGTCGATCTACCTTGCCATGCCAAATCTCTCGTACCCAATAGTTACGTTATTCGAATCTCTGTCGATTTTAGTGTCTGATTCAGCAAGCCAACGATTCCACACATACTGCCTGGTCTATTCTTATACCCTTATTTTTTCCGAACAATTTTTTTGACAAAATTATTTTGAATTGCTCATCAGATTACCCTAACATGATGAATTCCAAAATTGGATGTAGCGAGCGAGAATGGTAACATGGCATGCGAACTCAACAGCTCTACGTTGTTACTTCAATTCTGTGCTCCTCGCGAATGGCATGAGACATGTTGACATGCAGTAGCAGGCAAAGCATATACCATGAATTAAACAGGTAATATCGACATGTATCAGTATCACGCAGAAATATATTACTCACTGATTTGAAAACTAGAATTCAATGAGCGAATTTTGAAGCCGCAATATTTAATGGGAAGACATTTTTAAATCTGTTAAATTATTCACCTATCGAATTGTTTTAGGTGTCCAAATTATTTCAGCTATCAAGCATATAGAACATTTTATACACTAGATAATACGACTGGAAGCGGCCATATTAATGTGACCTCATTAGTTATTCACGGTCTCCTCTCTTTCGTCTTAAAATTGCTGGTGATGACCAAATTCTATCTATACAATACGTGTCCCTTCCCAACAATAGCGAGAAACTGTTATATAATAACGTTAAGAATTCAAGCGCTTACATTTGTCGAGAGCATATTGGGGGACAAACGCACGGAATACGTCACAACTAAGATAGTCAATAGCATTCCCTTAATTTTATACTGTAGAACATGTGCGCGTGATATTTGTAACATTTCCAATTTTTCAAATTTCGAAATGTTTGCTTGGATAAGATGTACTAAGATTTTTCTTTTTAAATTAGAACTTTTGCTTCCATGTCAGCAATGCAATAAAACCCCGAATATAAGAACCTAGATTTTCCAAGTTAGCCCAAACAGCTTCTTATGTACATGGTGCTTACCAGGAAATTGGGCCAAACAGGTTCTCAAACAAGTTTCTAAATAGTTTTTTATTTTCTTAACAAAAAGCGGTTCATTTTTGGTAGGAGTGTGGCATATAATTTGTGTAAATTATGCATGCACAAATTACGAAACAGTCCATGCATGATGCTGGAAAACATTGCTTACAGTCACTAGTAGTTGAGATTGTCATGTAGTATTTTCACTGAAGAAATACAATTATTTGTTGTTGTGTTCATGTAGACTTGTTATTTATCTGAATGAGATTTCCAGGGTTCTGGGTCATTTTTATTACTTTGTGAAGTGCTTATTTTCTTAAAGAGTGAGTATTGTGCCATGCAGTGATCAATGGCACGCTTGTGTTCACATTTTATGTTTACATTCGGCTGTACCTGATGAATATACTTTCATTACAGACATTTTGCATAAAAATGCAACATTTCACAATATTTTATCTATCTAAATATCGGCCAATGTCACAGTGGATAGTGTCCGGGGGCAGTATCCGCTGTTACACCGGTCGATCACCAACCTCATCCCCAGAGCCATCCGCGGCAAATTTCGCGCGGATGGCCCTGTGGACGAGGTTGGTCGACCACGCCAAAATAATTCGTTTGGTTTTTCTGTTTTTAAAGAGTGAGTATCATGCCAGTGATCCTTTGGCGTCCCAGAAAATGGCTGAATCTTGAGATATTTTTAGTGATGTCCAAGATTTAATCAGTTGTATTGGCCCATATTTATGGAAATCCACATTATTATT